GGAGTGGGTGTTACCCACATGTGGGAAAGTCATTTAGGGTTTCACACAGGAGAGTGATATCTTCTGACTTATGTTTCTAAAAGGTCACCCTGAGTCCTGGGTGGCACCTGCAATTGTAGGGCCCCGAGTGGAGCTAGGAGGCCAAGCGGGAGGCCCCTGGGGTGATAGAGGAGCCAGATGTTGGGGCTAGGGAGGGACAGTGGAGGTGGAGAGCAGAGGCTGGAAAGGTGGAGGTAGAGCTGATAGGATGAGCCATGGCTGGATGTGGGGGCGAGGGAAAGAGTAGAATCAGAGAAGCCCCTCAGTTTGGGGGCACGAGGAACCAAGATTAAATAAGACTGTCACTGTGTGTCATTCAGTTGCCTTTCTCAAATATTAGTTGTCTCATCGTGCTTTCAGCAGTGGGGTGGGGGATCGATCTTTGCAAGGATTCCATTCAAAGTCAACAAACACATATGAGCCATCAACTAGGGCGGGCTCCGGGCCAGGTTTGAGGGACTGGGCGATGGTCCCTGTCCTCGGGGTTCACGGTCTGTCGGGGAGAAAGACAGGGCCGTGGACTCTCTAGCAGAGCACAGGGGATGACACAGGTGGGCTTGGGCTGAGCCGTCTCCATCTGCCAGGGGCAGGGGCATGGCGGGAGGGAGGCTTCACAGGGTCAGGGATGCAAAAGCTGAGCCCTGAAGGTCGAAGCTTCAGTCTAGTAGGTAGGAAAAGGAAGGGTGTCTCAAGACAGGGAACAGCATGTGTAAAGACCCAGAAGCCCAGAGAACACAGAACCTTCTGAGAAGGGCAAGTGTCAAAATTCTGAGAGCTCACAGCCCTGCCTGGAGGCTGCTGGGCAGAACCTATCTCCCAGGACACCCCCTCACTGGGCTCTCTGGAGAGCCAGGCTGACTTCATAGTGCTCCAAACCTGCCCTTTGACCCCCACACATCCTTCAAGGCCCTGCTGGAACCCCTCTTTCCCTCTTCCCTGACCACCCAGTTCTCAAGGGATCCTGTTGAACTCCCAGTTTGTATCTCTGGAAGGAGGCTCAGAGAGTTATGTTTACACAGATCTGACCTGGCTGCCCCTGGATGGGCAGAAACCTCCTTGCTCTCAGGATGCCCTGGGCACAGCCGGGGTACAGGATTCCAGGGGAGGAGGGTTGGACTGGCTCCTCCCTGAGCGCCTTTCCGGTCCTGGCCCCATCCTCCTGCTCCCCTATTCTCCAACCCCCAAACCTCCTCACCTCTGCCAGAAGGATGACCAGTCCATTCCCAATGTGTGGGATTACTGCCCCCTTCCATTAAACCCCAGGCCGCTCTGCATCCCCACCTCGGCCGTACCTCACACCTGCGGTCCCTGCACCTGGGAGGCCTTGCTCCCTCTTCTCCCGATGAACTTTTCTAAGACTCAGCTCAGAGGGCTCCCTGAAGACGTCTTCTTCACTTCCCAGATGACGCATCCCTCCGGCCCCCCGCTCACTGTTTGCACCCCTCGTCATCACACTCTGGTTATTATGTGCTGCCACACGTTCTCCTCACTGGATGTGAATTCCTTGAGGATGCGTGCTATGTGGCCCTGGCCACCTGATACACAGGTGACATTCCGTCCCCATGGCTCCTTCTCCCCATTCACAACACAGTCCCTTACCGGCATCCAGAGCAGATTCTGTTGTCAAATTCCTTCCCATGTGTCATCCATTTGGTCTTCCCAACAGCCCGGAGAGGAAAATCAAGACCAGAGGGAAGATGTGGCCAGCTCAAGGCCACATAGCCCAGTGGAAGATCCTCCTGCCCCAGCAGTGCCTGAACCCATGTCCCAGCCATGGAGCACTTCCCCTTAGCGCAAAATCCCAGTAGTCTGAGTCCCCAGTCCACGAGGGCCAAGAAGTCACATCTTCACCAGGGAATACCCATGGGTCCCTCCAGGTCACCTGGCCAGACCCTGTCCCCTCTGCCAGCCTCCTGGCTCCCCTTAGTGGGTCTCGTTCGCTGCCACTGCAGACCATGGCCCGCTTTGCCCTGACCGTGGCCCTAGACCCTCCCTTCAGGTCCCACAGGGGAACTGTCCAGCAAAGCTTTGTTGGGGATTTGGGAAGAGCAGCCGAGACTCACCCACTGGGTACCGGAGAGCAGGAGTGAAGTTACGTGACGGGTCTGCCCTCAGTGGTTACAGGCTCACAGGCTCCACCTAACACCTCTTTGCCAAGCCCATTGCAAAGGACAGCTCACCTGATCGCCATGAGACCCCCTCTCCGACCTGGAGTCTCAGCCTCTGCTCCCTCAGACCATGAGAGAGCAAGCAGCCCCCCGCTCCAAGGCCCCCTGCCAACTCCTGGCTCCCACCGAGCGCAGACTGCACCTCAGGATGACTGGAAATGAGAAAGGCTTGTCCCCTCAGGAGAACTCCATGCCCTGCCCACAGGGTCTCCCTCTGGGACAACCCATCCTGACCCGTGGTCTGGGCTGTCTGCTCTGGAATAATATCTACAGAGGTGCAGCCAAATCCCTGTTGGGGGCACTTCTGCAGGCCCAGCCTGGGGCTCCACCCTCGGCTCACTTCGTGCTGCCAACGTCTGGCCTGGGCTCCTAACCTTCTGTGAGCACAAACTTGGACAAGGATACCCACGGACCTTGGGGAGGGGAACCTGGTAGGCTCCTCCCTTAGTGCTCTAGGGAATGGAGGGGGAGGGGTGGCAAGAGGGACTCCAAGGGAAGAGGATGATGGGGTACAGGGTGTGTGGCCCTGGAGGCCAATCGGGCCAATCCTCTGAAGGCATCCTGGGGCTCTGGACAATACCCCAAATGCCAGGCTTTCTGACCATCTCGTCCAGCCCAGGGGCAGGGCTAAAGGGAGGCAAGCCTCTCTCTTGTCCTGTTTCTCCAACGCCCAGGCACATGGGGCCTGCAGACAGACTGAACTGACCCAAGTCTAAACTGGAGTAAAACGAGTGAAAGGAGCCATTGCTTCTTCCCGGAAAATAAATAAGCAAAACGTGATGTTGGGCAGATTTGGGAAAGCATCCACATTCAGTCAGGGCAACAAGAATGACCTAGAACACGTGGTGTGAGCAGAAAGGACCAGATGCCAGTCTACTCTGATGCTTGGGTGTCTAGTGGGCTGCCAGGGGGTGGTACCTGCAGAACAGCCAAACAGCTGGGCAGATTCTCCTCCTAAGCCAGATGTTCCCGTTTGTCTTCCCCCGCCGACACCCAGGCAGCTGCCTGTCCCTTCTGGGCCTGGGAGAGGCGCTCCATTGCTGCCTTGCACTCAGCTGCCTCTGGCCCCGGTGGCAGGCAGAGGGGCAAGGTGTCTGGGCCCTCTGGGCTGTGGCGAGAAGGCAGGGCCTTCACCTGGCACTCTCTGCCATGGGCCACAGGCAGCAGCCCTGCCGGGCCAGGGCTTGAGACAGACCCACCAGCAGGGAGAGTGAGCACCAACGTGGCAGGAGGAGGCATCCCCCAGTCCGCTTTGGCCAGGGCCCGGCTGTGCCCCACTGGTGTGAAGGCTGAGGGGGGCGGGAGGGAGCACAGGGCTTAGCATCAGGTGGGCCAGTCGCCCACCTCTCTGCCTGTAGCTTCCTCACCTGTCGGAGGGAAACAACAGTAACAAACAGCGCCTTTCTCAGAGGGGCTTGGAGAGCTCACAGAGAACATGGGCGAAGAGCTGAGCACAGTGCCCTGTGTTAGTTTCCTCCTCTGCAAAATGGGGAGGCTGGAGGATTAAGTGAGACCACCGGTGAAGCCCCCAGCACAGAGCCTGGAACAGAGGTCCTCCATACAGGAGGATCCAGGCTCCAGGTGGGAGTCGCTGTCCGTTTCTCTCTCTGACCAGGCTCCGCACAGTGCCGGCTTGTGGTTGAGACCCAGGAGGTGGTTGTGGAATCGCTGGATATGCCCATCTCTCTGTCCTTGTCTCTGAGTTTCTATTGTTTGAGTCTGAAGCAGGGAATCCCCAAGCTGGCAGCCACCGAACTGGCCACTCTCACTTTATAGGTGAGGCCACTGAAGCCCAGAGAGGGGCAGGCACTTGCCCAGGTCCCACAGCAGGCAGTGTCAGAGCTGGGCTAGGACAGTTCCTTTCTCCATGCCCAGAACAGGATCCACAAAACCTCCTTTCTGTCTGCTTTAAAACCTCTCCTCATTCTTGCCATCTGAACTCATCTTTCATTCTCTGCCTCTTTAGCAGCCAGAGCCCAAGAATAGGTGACTGGCCCAGCACCTCCAGGAGCAGAGGCTGCCCCGCTCAGGGGTGTGGGGAGAGGCATGGCGGGGGCCGAGAATGCGGGCTGCTCTGGCCCAGGGGCCTGGGCCGGGCTCCCGACAGAGGAGCCAGTGTGCCCAGACATTGGGGCTTTGTGAGCTTGGAGCTCCATGTGGGGACGGTTGTTTTTGTTGACCTGACATTGTTTCAGGTTGACTGAGTAGCAGCATCTTAGCGCCCAGGGGCCAGCTCTTTGGAGCCAGCAAGGGTCTGGAGGAGAGGGTGGCTTGCCCCCTAATCTAGGGCAAAAAGGGAGGAGGCTGCCTGGACCTGTGAGCACTGAGCAAGCCTGCAGAAGAGCAAGTCCTGAGAGAGGACACCAAGAGAGGAGAGAGGAGAAGGCACCCATGCATCTCTGGGCCAGAGCAGAGGGGCCTGGCCAGGGTGAAGATGGACAGAGGCAGGACGGGGGCATCCAGAGGCTGGGCCAGACCTGCCGGGAAGCTGGGAGCTCCGAGAACCCAGCCACCAAACCTTAGTCCGTGAAGGAAGACCCAAGAGAATCCTAGGGGCCAGGAGGGCCTCGAGAGGCCCTGAGGACTGGCCAGCTGGGGTAGGGTGGGCCAGACTCACAGCTGTCCAGATGCGCGTGAAAGATAACTCTGTTTACTGGGCACCCAGCGGGAGCAGGGCAGGGGGGTGGGAAGGGGCTCCCAGGGCCCATGGGGCGGGCAGATTAGGAGGCGGGGGCATGAGTCAGGGGTTTGCAAGCTGCCCCCGGGGTGTGGGAGCGAGGACCTGGTGCTGTTAGAGCTGTGCGAGCTCAGCTGGTCGCAGAGGGCACCGGCGGCTGCAGGAGGCTGCCCAGGGAACCCGAGGCTGGTGAACAGGTGAGTAGGGCCAGGAGGGGCTGGAGGTGGTCCTGTAGCACCTGTGCTAGGGTTCCTGCAGGTGCCCAGTCTGAATCTGTGCCCAAGCAGGCACGGACGCCCAACTTCCAAGGGGGATGCTGGTGGGTGGCGGGAGAACATTACCATGTGTGTTGTTACCCCTAAGGGCACAGGCCCATTGGCACCTGCAGCTGGGGAGAGCTGGGCAGCTGTGTTAGAAAAAAGAGGCGTGCATGTGGCTGCAGAGGTGCGTGTGGCTGGTGTATGAGTGTGTGTGCGTCAGGGACAAATCTGATCCCCCTCCTGGTGTGGGGTCCTTGTCAGGCTGCCATTTACCAGCCCCTCGGATCCCACAGACTCAGGTCTCACCCTCCCAGCCCCCTCCTTCCTCCACGTATGGGGATCTCCAGGCCACCCTATTTTCCTCCTAGGAGGAAAGTTGTCAGCTGACACTGGTTGCCACTTGGGACACGTCCAGGGAGTCTACCAGGGAGACCTGGCACTGTCCCCAACCTTGGGAGTGTTTGGAGGGAAAGGGGGCGTCCCCTACCACCCGAGGATCTCAAAGCACTTAGACGAACTCCATAGGAATTGAAGGAAAATCAGAGGGGGATGCAGACAGCAAGTCCGACCTTGATCCCCAGCAGCAGGGATGATGACAGCAAGCATTTCCATAGAGCTCGAGGTGTGCCAGGTGCTATTCTAAGGGCTTTACATGTATGAGCTTACTCAGTACCACAACACGTCTAGTCTATGAGGTGGGTGTCCTGATTATTACCCCATTTTACAGATGAGAAAACTGAGGCACAGAGGGGTTGAGTCACTTGCCTGAGGTCACACAGGTCACACAGTTAGTAAGTGGCTGGCCTTGGATTTGAACCCAGACAGTCTGACTGCAGAGTCCATGCTCTTAATCACTAACACTAAACTGGCTCAGAGCTGTTCTCTGGGAGGCCACTCAGCGTGCTGGTTAGAGAAGTAGCCAGCGTCAGGCAGGCCAGGGTTTAACCTGGCCTCTGATCCCCTCCCTACAAGGGGATCAAAGCAGGTAAACCGCTCCCAACTTCAGCTTTCTCGTCTGTAAAACAGAGCTAATGTCGATACCCACTTCACAGAGTGGTTTGGGGCTCATGAGAGAGAAGGCAGGAGAACCCTGTGCGCTGTGGGGATGATTTCACGTAGGTGGTGCTATGCCACCAGGGAGCCCTCCCCATCATCTGATCACCCCCAGCCTCTTCCAGCTGTGCCCCACCTCCTGGGCTCCAGATGCCCCGCTCACCCTTATCTGGCCCTGCCCTGGCTGGCTGGCTGGCCAGGTGTTTGGTGCGCTTCCAGGCGCAGGGCAGCGATCAAGGACCTGGCTCTTATCAGTGCCAGGCAGAGCAAGGCCTGCAGCTGGGGCGGGCTGGGCCTGGGCGGCAGCAATCTGGGTCATGGGTGCACCCTCTAAGGCCCCAGCTGAGCTCAAGGCGCCTCAGTTCTCCCCTCCTCTCTCACTGATGTCCCAGAACCCCAGTGGGAAGGCCCTCCTTTTGTACAGACGGGGGGACTGAGGCCTAGAGAGAGCTTGGGAGCTGCCCAAGGTCATTTGGCCAATCAGTGGCAGAGAGGCAGCCTGGATCTCTGGATGCTCTGGCTCTGGAGGGCCCCTGTGACCACCTCACCTTTCAGATGGGAACTAAGGCCACAGTCCCAGCCTATGGGTGGGACATTCAGCATCTCAGGCTTGACACCCGTGAAGCTGCTAGGGATGTGAGGCCTGGGGGGGATAAGGCCAAAGAAGGAAGAGAGAGAATAAAGATGGGAGAAGAGGAAGGCAGGGGAACGCGGGGAGAAGGGACAGGGAAGGACAGAAAGGGAGAGTAAAAAGGTGTGTGACCAGAGCCTCAGGGCCAAGTCCGCTGCGAGAGAGACAGCTGCATCCTCAGGCTCTGGGACCCTGCCATGGCCATCACCTGCCCCACCACCACCCTGACGGGGGACCCTTGCCGTTCTGTTTGGTGCGATTCGATGCTGCCCCTCCCCCATCCTTAACGGACCATCCACTCCTCAGAAAGCAAGTTCTTTCTGTCTGCGCTCCCCGCTCTATTCCCTCACACAACACCCAGGCCTGTCCTGCACCGTCCTACCTCCCACCTTCACCGGCCATTCCTCACCCGTGGGCCATCCTTCCCCACCTGCCAGCCCTTCGAATCCTGCTGTGTTTCTAGGCCCATCGCCAGTGTCCCCTCCTCCAGAGATGCCCCACCCCCAACCCCACCAACTCATCCTCCTCTTCCTCCTGCCATCCAGCTCCTGGCACCCAGCACATTCCGCTCACTGCTTGTGTTTGTCTGGCGGACATGTTATCTCCTGAACGCTTAGCGTGTCCCATGTTCCTGGCTCGTCTCCCCAGTCAGGGCTGGGAGCTTCTCGAGAGTAAGGACCTGTCCTGTTCCTCTCAGGCCCCACTGCATGTGGGCACACAGCGGGCAGGTTTGTCAACCTGACCCAAATCCCTGCCACCACAATGCCCTGTGGTGCAGGGGGTGAGAGGAGGAAGAGAAGTCCCTCCACCCCCAGTCTGGGGTCACCCTAGGGGCCCTCTGCGTTCACATTCCTAGGGTAGGCATACCTTCCTCTCCGCTAGGGACATAACTGAGAAAACTTAGGGGCAGGGCCCAGCGGTCTCCTGGTTGGGTCCTCATCATCCAGACTCCCCAGTCCCAGAGCCCCAGGCCTGCAAGGGGGAGCCATTCTTACATTCAGTCAACACACATTTACTGGGCATCTGCTATGTGCCAACCATTCTGCTAGGAGTGGGGGCTCAGTGCGGATTGAGACATGCAGGGTCTTGGCACTCATATGGCTCCTTCTAGAGGTATCATCAGACAATACACACACAAATGAATCAAGAAACCAGAAAATGACAGATTAGTGAAGGTTAGGGTAGTCAGGGAAGGAATCTGAAGAGGTGACAGATGAGCTGAGATGTGAGAAGAGCTGAGGTGTGGGGGCAGGGCTGTCCAGGACATACACAGCTGTATGTGCAAAGGCCCTGGGATGGGAAAAGGCTTGGTACGGAGGCCAATGGGATAGGTGAGGAGAGAGCAGGAGAGGGAGTTCGAGATGAGGTGAGGGTGGAAAGAAGGGCCACAGCACCCAGGACCAGTGAGCCACTCCCAAGGATGCTGCAGCCCCATGCCCAGCAGGAAGCAGCCATTTCTGAGAGAAGAGGGTGTGTTGTAGAGACACTCAGGGGGGCTAAGCTCCCTAGAGAGGACAGGCCCTGCCTCTGGAGTTGGCCGAGCCCTGGGGATGGGCAGGAAGAGCAGCCAGGTGAGGACTGGTGGATGGAGGAAGGAGTTGGATTTGAAGGACCCCCCCATCCTCCCAAACCCCCTGAGCCTGATGCCAGCCGAGCTCCCCGCTCTCTGCACTGCCCCCTCTCTCCCGGCCCCTGTGCACCTGCCCTCACACCTAAAATCCAGCTCCTCCCCTCGAGCCCCGCCACACTTTCTTCCTCTGACCCCGCCATCTCCCAACACCTGCTATCGCCCTTCACTCAAAAGCAGCCACCTGGGGGAGGACCAGGAGACCCCAGGGTGCCCTGTGCCTCCTCAGCCTGTGCCCCTCCCCTGCAGGGACCCGCAGTGCGGGTTATGCTGAGGGCTCGGATCACCAGGGACAAAGGGACAATTAGGACAGCGCCATGGATGATTCCCAGGTGAGTCTGTGGGGCTCCTACCTGGGGCTCTGGGAACCCAGCCCTGAGGTCATACCTCCGTGGGGGCTTGAGGAGCCCCTCACAGCCCAGCCCTGATGGCCACTTCCCACAGGAGAATCCTGAAGAGATAGAGGTGATTGTGGAGGAGGATTATGAAGGCCCAGGTATCATTACATCCCCGCCGGAGGCGATTATGGAGGAGGATTATGAAGGCCCAGGTGTCTCTATGTCTCAGCCGGAGGAGCCAGTAGGTGAGCCCCATCTCTCTCTCTCTCTGCTGGGATGAGCTGCTGAGCCCCAGAGAGGGACAGTTGGGGAACCTGTCCTCCCCCTGCTCTTCACTCCCCCCGGCCCAGCCCCAAGGCCAGTTCTCCCACAATCCTGGCTGATTGAAGGATAAACAGAGTTTTGTTTGAAATGATCACAGGAGGTGACCGGGGCATGAGGGCAGGACCAGTCACCCAGCGCTATGCCCCTTAGATTTGCAAGAGGGCAGCCAGGCCTGTCTGGGACAAGGACATGAGCCACATGTTACCTGTGTCCATCCAATGCCGGCTTCTAGGCCAGGCACTGGGCCTGTTCTGGGAACATCGTTCTGTTTGGGGGTCCAGAGGTCCTGAGCAATGGCAGGCCGTGGGGACCCCCAGGGCAGAGAGACATCAAGAAACCCTCCTGGGCTTGGCCAAGGTCTCAGCTGGGGAGCCCCAGGTGGGGACCTGTTTACTGTCAACAGGACTTAAGTGTTGGCAATTTGTATTGAAGATAAGAGGCCCCTCTGGGAAATGAGGGCTGGGGCACAGTATAAGGGCAGACCCCACGAGGCTCCCAGAGCTCCACTTGGAGGCCGTGAGAAGCCACTGGGCTGATGCGGCTGCTGCAGCAGGTGGGAATAAGGAAGGACTCGGTCCCAGAAGGTGGCAGGAGAGGGAGGAGACCCGGGGAGAATCCTGAGAACTGCCATTCAGGACTCTCCAGTCACCTTGGAGATGACCCTCCCTGTCATCACTGAGGATGAGACCCCGGGCTCCTCCAATGTGCTCAGATGGGGAGTGACAGAGCGAGGCTGGGCCAAGAACAGGCGTGGGGAGCCACAGCCCATGGAGCAGCAAGAGCGGGTGGTAGCACCAGGGTCCCAGCCAGGCGCAGGGGGAGGAGTAGGGGTCAGCCGGGGCTGGTCTCTGAGGCTCATGGTAGGGGGTGCAGGAAGCCCTGGGGGGGGGTTGTCTGGGTGCAACACTAACGGGCCTCCGGGGTTTCAGCTCACCCCACCGAGCGGACAGCTGCAGACCACCACACCATCACGCACCCAGGCACCGGTGAGGTGAGGTCCCCCAGCCGTCCCCAATTCTCTGTCCTGCGCTGCCCTTGGGACCCGCCATTCTACCAGGGGAAGGGAGGAGCAGAGGGAGAGGCAAAGCTTTGGGGTGGAGGACCCCACAAACAGACAAAGAAGTGGGCACCCTGGGAAATAGGTAGACAAAAAGAGGACAGCCCCCTGAGAGAGAGTCCTGGGCCCCCTTCCACTGATGGGGAGCTCCTTGGGCAGAGATAAACTGCCTGCAGGAGGTCTGAGCCCCCAGGCCCTCTGGCCCTGGCTGGGCTGTCAGGTGCTCCCTGGGGAAGCACAGAATCAAATACGTGCTCCCCTCTGCCCAGGCTTGCCAGGCCCGCATGTCCCTGCTGGGGCGCCAGACTGTCGAGCTGGTTGGGAAATTGGGTCTGCCCTCAGGTAGGCCCCTGGGAACAGCCACCCGGCCCCAAGGAAACCCAAGGGCATGCTGAGCCACATGCCCACCCAACAATCTCAGAGGCAGGAGACCGACCTCTGACTGCAAAGCCTTCCCTCTCCTTTCCCTCCCAAGGGGCCGCTCTAGCACCCCTTTTGGTCTGGAGCTTCTCCAGATGCCTCTGAAATGGGCTGAGGGGCCTGGTCAGGAAGTTGAGGAATAGAGCCAGAGGTGTGGGCCATACAGATGGGACCCTCGAGCATCTCCCCACACTTCCCACCTCACTCAACACTCATGTCGGGGGCTGCAGCTCCCGACCGTCCCCTCTGAGCTAGGGGTCTGCCCCCGAGTGCTCCAGGACCCTAGACCTCCTACAAACATGTCGCAGAGCCTGCCGAGTGCCCACCATGCCCTGGGCTCCCAGTCTCCCCACGGCCCTGCCCTGGGCCTGATGGACTAATTCAGGCCTGTGGGGCTGCAGGTCTACGTGGAGCTGCAGGAACTGGTGATGGACGGGAAGAACCGGGAGCTGCAGTGGATGGAGGCAGCGCGCTGGGTGCGACTGGAGGAGAACCTGGGGGAGGACGGGGCCTGGGGCCGCCCACACCTGTCTTACCTCAACTTCTGGAGCCTCCTGGACCTGCAGAGAGCCTTTGCCAAGGGTGAGCCCCGCTGGGCCCCTCTGCAACCCCTGCACGTGAGGCTTGGTGGGGAGGAGGTGGGTCCCGGTCCAGCCATGTAGTCACTCCCTCACTGTTTGCAGGTTCTGTCCTCCTGGACCTGTCAGAGACCTCCCTGGCCGGGGTGGCCGAGAAGCTGCTGGACCGCTTTATCTATGATGGGCTGATTCGGCCTCAGTATCGAGAAGACCTGCTCTGGGTCCTGTTGCTCAAACACAGGTGCCGCTGCCTGCTGGGACCCAGACTCCACACCCAAAGGGCCCATATCCCCAGCCCACCTGCCCCAAGCTCTCCCTGGGGGTCCAGATGGCCCCTCCCCCACCAGGCCAAGGCCCACTTTTCTTCCACGATGGCTCCTACCTGTGACACCTCTTAAGCAGCGGCCACGCCTTCATGCTCAGATTTGGGCACCGCTCATCCTGAGGAGGACAGGCTCTCAAGGCCCTTTCCTCCACCCATTCTTCTGGCTCCATCTCGTCTTTCCAGACAGAGGCCACCCGCTTACATCCACAACATCCTTCAGAGGAGGCTGGTTCTCCCTCCGCCCCAGGGTTTCTCTCATCTGGTCACTAGGAAGTCCCACTTGATCCGTCCCACCACCAGTCTCCACTCTGCTGATAGCCCAGCCTGAACCGCCCACTCAGTCCGTGTCCTCTGTGTGTCCTGCAGCCATGCCAGAGACCTAAAGGAGCTAGATGGTGTGAAGCCCACGGTCCTGACACCTTCTGGGGGCACTTTACAGCCTCTGCTTCCCGAACACCCTTCGCTGGAGACACAGCTCTTCTGTGCACAGGTGAGGCTGTACCAGGGGTGTGTGGGGAGAGCTGGAAAGCCCCCAAACTGAACGTGGTTAGAAACGAGAGTGGGTCAGGGCCGGCCCCGTGGCCAAGTGGTTAAGTTCGCACGCTCCGCTTCCATGGCCCAGGGTTTCACTGGTTTGAATCCTGGGCGCGCACACGGCACCGCTCATTAGGCCACGCTGAGGTGGCGTCCCACATACCACAACTAGAAGGACCCACAACTAAAATATACAACTGCGTACTGGGGGGATTTGGGGAGAAAAAGCAGAAAAAAAAAAAAGAAGATTGGCGACAGTTGTTAGCCCAGGTGCCAATCTTTAAAATAAAGAAAAGAAAGAAAAAGAAATGAGAGTGGGTAGAGGAGAGGGGGCTGGCCGCTCAGGTCTCCTGGGTCTAGAGTGGCTGGAGGACTCCCCTCAACACCCTCCTTCCAACAGGGAGAGGGGGACACAGAAGAGAGCTCGCCATCTGGAATTCTAGAAAAGATATCCCCGGATTCAGAGGCCGCCCTGGTGTTAGTGGGTAAGCGGCTGGTATCTGCACCCTTACCCCTCCACACTCGCTGCTTCTGCCTCCTGTCCTGGCCCTGCCTGTTCCTCCCTAAGCTTGGACCTCGGCAGACCCCTGGGCCTGGCCTGACCACCTCACTGACCCCTTCCCCCACAGGCCGCATCTCCTTCCTGGAGAAGCCAGTGCTGGGCTTTGTGCGGCTGCGGGAAGCTGTGGAGCTGGAGGCCACCGTGGAGCCCTCCGTGCCTGTGCGCTTCCTCCTTGTGTTGCTGGGACCCGAGGCGCCCCACACGGACTACACTCAGCTCGGTCGGGCTGCTGCCACCCTCATGTCGGAGAGAGTGAGGAGGGGCCGGCGAGGGCTGGGGGCGCCTGGGGGGCAGGTGGCAGCTGAGGCCCTGCTCCTGGCCTGGGTTTCTTTAGCTTCGCTCGTTGGCCCATTCAGTCTAACCTAGCTGCTTCTGTCCTGTCTGGCCAGGGGTCGGCTGGCCTAGCCCTGCCTGATCTGGCCTGGGCTAGTCTGGCCCACTCTGACCCGGATCTCCCTGGTTATGTCTGGCCTGGTCAGGCTCTAGTTCCATCTTGTCTGCCATAAACCACTGGGTTTGCTGTATTCTTTCTCCTTCCCCCACTCAGGGCCCTGTCTGCCCCCTCAAAGCCCTTTTGTAGTGGGAGGTAGGAGTGAAGGGGGCAGGAAACTCAGTTCTTAGCAAGAAGAGCTGGACAAGAGGGTTCTGGTCCCCGGGGGCCCTGGCTGTGGACTCCTGGGCCCTTTCATCCCGCAGGTCCAGGCAGCCCTGACCTTCTCTCTGGCCCCCAGGTGTTCCTCAATGAGGCAAACACGGCCCAGAGCAAGGAGGAGCTGGTGCGCTCCCTAGAGGGCTTCCTGGACTGCAGCCTGGTGCTGCCTCCCTTGGATGCCCCCTCGAAGCAGGCGCTGCTGAGTCTGGTGCCTGTGCAGAGGGAGCTGCTGCGGAGACGCTACCTGCCCAGCCCTGCGAAGCCGGACCCCAGCTTCTACAAGAGCCTAGGTACCCGTCCTGCCCAGCCCAAGGTTCTCTGAGTCCCCACACACCCTCGGACACCCAAGCACAGCCCTGTGAGCCCCTGCCTCCCCTCTTCCCATCAGATACCCCAGCGTCCCCCTCCCTTTCCTCATGCCTCCCAGCCTTCTTGGCCACCCCATTCCCATCAGACGATACCCCCAATTCCCCTCTCCCCACACCTCTCCCTGCCACCCCCTGTGACCATGGTCCTGTCCTTCACTACAGATTTGGGTAGGGGTCCAGGGGTCCCTAGTGGCCCAGAGGACCCTCTGCAGCGGACAGGCTATCTCTTCGGGGGCCTGGTGCATGACATCAAGCGCCGCTACCCCCACTACTTGAGTGACATCACAGACGCGCTCAGCCCCTCCGTCCTGGCTGTCGTCTTCTTCATCTACTTTGCCGCCCTGTCACCTGCTATCACCTTTGGCGGCCTCCTGGGTCAGTGCCTCTGCATACCCCCTAACTCTGACCTCTGACCTTCTGGCTTCTTCTTCTGCCCTGCCTTCTGATCCGATCTGACACTCTGGACCCTGCATCAGCTGCCCGTGAAATGCTCTATCAGCTCCTGGAAATGATCTCCTGACCTTGACTCCACTGTACCTCTACCCGCAGGAGAAAAGACATACAACCAGATAGGAGTGTCAGAGCTGCTCTTGTCCACTGCACTGCAGGGCATCATCTTCTGCCTGCTGGGGGCTCAGCCCCTGCTTGTGATTGGCTTCTCAGGACCCCTGCTCGTATTTGAGGAAGCCTTCTTCTCGGTAGCGCTGATCTGGCCCCGTGACCTGTAACCCATCCCCGGCCCCACTGCCTGGTGCATGGCGCCTGGGCCCATTTGTCTGACCTCAGCTCCCTCTGACCGCCCTCCAGTTCTGCGACAGGCAAGGCCTGGAGTACATCGTGGGCCGTGTGTGGATCGGCTTCTGGCTCATCCTGCTGGTGGTGCTCGTGGTGGCCTTTGAGGGCAGTGTCCTGGTCCGCTTCATCTCCCGCTACACCCAGGAGATCTTCTCCTTCCTCATCTCCCTCATCTTCATCTATGAGACCTTCAGCAAGCTGGTCAAGGTAGGGGCCACAGGAGTATGAACAGGCACGTGCGTGTGCGTGTGGGAGCCTGTGCATAAACTATGTGACTGTGTGTGTCATTGCACATGTCTGTATGGCATTTGTGTAGCCATGTCCTCACGGTATGTGACTGTGACCACATGCATGTTGACACTTTACTGCCTGTGGGTCAGCATTCTTGCCGTGACTATGCACGAGGGGACACCTCTGTGTGCACATGCCCGTGTTTACGACCACAGACGGAGTGACTAATGGGCGAGAGGGCGTGTGGGACTGCACGTGGGAAACTGCACGCATGGCAGGGGCAGCGGGACTTCTCGAGGCTCTGAAGTCCGCCACTCTCTCTCTTGCTCTTGCCCTTTTAGAACTGCAGGGCCTATGGACAGAGTGCCCTGCCTCCTCAGCTCTGTCCCCTCAAACCATGCCTGCCTCTGTATCTGCATTTTATTTGGAGGAAAGGTGGACGCTGTAGGCCTGTCCCTGATTCGGTTGGTCAGTGGATCTATTTCCAAGTCTTTGAAGCCCTTTTTAGGAAGCTCCTTGGCATGTTTCCTGCCCTCCAGCCTTCTCATGTCTCCCAGGCCCTGGGTGCTCACATGTACACACACACATATATTGATTGCCTCCTTGGCCTGCCCCACCCAAGCCTAGCCTGGTCCTACTCCTGAAAACCAAGCTGTAAAATCCTATTGCCCTCTATTACCATGTCAGTTGAGGAAGAAGATAGGTGGGTGGGTGGATGGATGGATGGATGGATGGATGGATAGATGATGGATGAGTGGATGGATGGATGGATGGATGGACAGATAGATGATGGATGGATGGATGGATGGATAGATGATGGATGAATGGATGGATGGATGGATGGATGGATAGATGATGGATGGATGGATGGATAGATGATGGATGGATGGATGGATGGATGGACAGATAGATGATGGATGGATGGATGGATGGATAGATGATGGATGGATGGATGGATGGATGGACAGATAGATGATGGATGGATGGATGGATGGATAGATGATGGATGGATGGATGGATGGATGGACAGATAGATGATGGATGGATGGATGGATGGATAGATGATGGATGAATGGATGGATGGATGGATGGACAGATAGATGATGGATGGATGGATGGATGGATAGATGATGGATGGATGGATGGATGGATGGACAGATAGATGATGGATGGATGGATGGATGGATAGATGATGGATGAATGGATGGATGGATGGATGGATGGATAGATGATGGATGGATGGATGGATAGATGATGGATGGATGGATGGATGGATGGACAGATAGATGATGGATGGATGGATGGATAGATGATGGATGGATGGATGGATGGATGGACAGATAGATGATGGATGGATGGATGGATGGATAGATGATGGATGAATGGATGGATGGATGGATGGACAGATAGATGATGGATGGATGGATGGATGGAGGGAGGGAGGGAGGGAGGGATGGGAGGGAATAGGATGCCTTGGTTTTCTGCTGCAGATCTTCCAGGAGCACCCACTACAGAGGAATTATGACCAGAATGTGATCACAGAGCCCAAACCTCAGGCCCCCATGCCTAACACAGCCCTCCTCTCCCTTGTTCTCATGGCCGGCACCTTCTCCATTGCCATGATGCTGCGCAAGTTCAAGAACAGCACCTACCTCCCCGGCAAGGTCAGCACATCCTCCCCACCTGCCCTTGCCTACACTACCCCAGGCCAAAGCACCTCCCCCAGCTTCCCCAACGCCATTAGCTCCTCTTCTCACCCTAGATTCCCATTCCCAATTCTTAGCCTGCCTGGCTCCCTCCTCACCCAGGATCTTACTCTTCAGGCAAGCCTGCCTCCCTTTCTCAGCATTCCCAGGCTGAAAGCCCAGGGGAGAGCCAGGGATAATTCTTAGAAGGGGGTAGAGAAGCTGTCAGGCCAGGAGTGGGGCTGGGCCAAGGGAAGAAGAAGGGAGGCAGGTACTTTGAGGTGCAGGATAGGACATCAGATGTTGATGGATTCCCTGGGAAGAGCAGGGCCTCCTGGGTGAAGATGGGCAGAAGTAGGGGCCAGTGGGCGGTAGGAGGTGGGGAGCAACTCGGCACTGACACTGGTCCCTGTGCCTGCCCTCAGCTGCGACGGATAATCGGGGACTTTGGGATTCCTATCTCTGCCCTGATCATGATCATGGTGGATTTCCTCATCCAGGATACCTACACCCAGGTAACCCCCTCCCCCACCCTCATTTAATTCCCCCAACATGCCCCCTCCCCAGAACAGCTTTCTCAAACCTGAAGCCACTTAGAACTGCCCCTGTCCCACCCGCCTACCCTGGCAGCCGCATGTCCTTCCCACAGCCCTCCAGGATCCCTCTGGCTGAAACAAGGGCCTGGGTCAGGTTGCCCCCTTTACTTCTTAACTCAGGGCAGGAGGAAAGAATCTGCTGTGGAGCCAGGCAGATCTGAGCATGAATCTCAGTTCTGCCACCAAATGGCTTTGTGATGCAGGGCAAGCTACATAACCTCTCTGATCCTGTTTCCTCATCTATAAAGTTGGGAATGAGATGGTGATGCAAAGAGCTTAGTGTAGTGACTGGGTATAAAGTAGGTGCTCAATATAAGTAAGTTCCAAGTGCCCAGGACCCTGGCTCCCCTGTCCCCACCTTTCCCCGGCCTCCTGCCCAGGGTGTTCTCACCAGAATCCCCCTCCCACAGAAACTCAGTGTGCCTGAAGGTTTCTCGGTGTCCAACACCTCGTTCCGGGGCTGGCTCATCCACCCACTGGGCTTGTATACCCGTTTCCCGACGTGGATGATGTTTGCCTCGGTCCTGCCTGCCATGCTGGTCTTCATCCTCATCTTCCTTGAGTCCCAGATCACCACGTAAGAGCCAGGGTGGGGCAGGGCTGGGCGGGTCCAAGGTGGGGAAAGGGAGAGGCTCCAGGCAGGGAGGACACCAAGGACTGGGCACCAGCCTCAGCCAAACGTGTGGTCGTCCTGACCAGCAGGAATGATGGACAGGCAGGAGCAGGGGCAGGTTTTGTGGGACCTGACATGGTATAATTTGGGGATCCCTTTTAAAGAAAAGGAATACAAAATGAGAACCACAAAATTAGGTGCTGGATCTCGGAAGGGGCCAGGACCAGTGATGCCCCCTGAAGCTTAGGCTTCACTAGCTTCAGAGTAAATCTGCCTGTGGGTGTTCCAGGTGTCTGAAGACACTTCTGCTCCTAGAGTCTGGTTTCTCAAGATGGGGCGGGATGGGGGGAGCGAGGAACACTAAGGGAGATGGGCACAGAAGGATAAACTGAGGTACAGAGGGGCCCAAGTATGGGAAAGGAGGGAGGGGCAAAAGGGAGGGGGAGAGGGCAAGCCCTGCTGACCCCTGACCTCCCACCCCCCCAGGCTGATTATCAGCAAACCAGAGCGCAGGATGGTCAAGGGCTCCGGCTTCCACCTGGACCTGCTACTGATTATGGGCATGGGCGGGCTGGCCCCCCTCTTTGGGATGCCCTGGCTCAGTGCCACCACTGTGCGTACTATCACCCACGCCAATGCCCTCACCGATGTGGCTAAGGCCAGCACCCCAGGGGCTGAAGCCCAGATCCAGGTCAGGGAGCAGCGGATCAGCGGGCTCCTGGTCGCTTTGCTTTTGGGTGAGTGAGGGCTGGCCACACTCTCCGCCACCCTCTGTTCCTGCCCCTTAGGATACAGTGCCCGCTCCAGCCCTGCCCACCCCGCAGCCAGGTCTCCCCACACACCCTCTGCCCACATCTCCCTGGTGTCAGTTATTCATAGGAGGGAATTCTGGAGGAAATGCCCAAGGCCCTGAGATGGGCATCTGAGCAGGGGAGGAAGGCGGGCCTCCCTTACCAAGGCTTCTCTAGACAGGATCCAACAGAGGTTCAGAGAACTGTGGGCCCCAGCCCTGCCCTGCTGCTAACTCGGTCTCCCTCCTTGTCTCTGGGCCTCAGTTTCCTTGTCTGCATGATCACAGGGTTCATTGGATGCCCCTGAGGTCCCACTAGCTCTGCTGCCCTATGACTGATACAAAGGCCAGTGTGCCAGGCATAATCTGGGGCTAGGGCAGAGAAGACAGAGGGCCACTGCATTGATCCGAGTTCTGGAGCAGCTGAGAACCCAGCTGGGTTTGGTGTGGGCAACGCCTCAGTCACAGATGCAGAGGCCAGGGAAGTTTCTTAAAGAGGACAAAGTTGATGATAGCTGGAGGAGGGTTAGGATTTGGATAGGTGGAGGGTGATAGAGGCATTCTGGACTGCGGTGAAGGGAAGAGTGGGCCTCTCTGACCTCTGTGACCGTCCCCCTAGGTTGAAGGAGAAGGCTCTGAAGTCAGGCAGGCAGGAGTTTGACTCCCTGCTCTACCACTTACTAGCTGTGTGACTTTAGGCAAGTTGCTTCAGCTCTCTGAGTCTGTTTCCTCATCTGTAAAATGGGAGTAATACCTATCAAAAGGAGCCACAGAAACGGCTCCATATGGTACCTGTGGCTTCATTCCCCGGGCCCTGCTGGTGCTGGTCCTCCGGGGCACCTGGGGCTGAGAGTGCATGGCTCTCCCTGCAGGCTTGTCCATCCTCATGGGACCCGTCCTGCGTCGCATCCCCCTGGCTGTGCTGTTTGGCATCTTCCTCTACATGGGGGTCACATCCCTCAGCGGCATCCAGTTCTTTGACCGCATCTTGCTTCTGTTCAAGCCGCAGCAGTACCACCCGGATGTGCCCTACGTCACGCGGGTACAGGGCCCTCCTGGCTGCCCAGACCAGGCAGGGTTGGGGGTGCTGGGTACCGGGTCAGGGCAGGCAATGACCCCTGCCTCCACTTGCAGGTAAAGACCTGGCGCATGCACTTGTTCACGATCACCCAGATCATCTGCGTGGTGGTGCTGTGGGTGGTGAAGACCTTCCCGGACAGCTCACTGGCCCTGCCCTTCGTCCTCATCCTCACAGTGCCCCTGCGCCACTTCCTGCTGCCAATGATCTTCAGGAATCTGGAGCTCCAGTGTGTGAGTGGCTGATCCCCACTCTCCCCGACAGGCCTGGGGCCGGAAGGAGGGCGCAGAGGGGGCAGAGGCTGGAGGGCAGGACAACAGAGCTGGGGACAGGGAGAGGTCATCAGAGGGGCTGGGAGAATGTGAGCAGTGGGTCTTGGGACTAGGGAAGGAGAAGAGAGCCATGGTTACAATCTGGGTCTGGGGCCCGCATCCCAATCCTGGCACTGCCATGTCCTAGTGTATGACCTGGAGCAAGTGGCCTCATTTCTCTGTGCCTTGGGTTTGCTCACCTGTAAGGGAGGAATGATGACAGGGCTGGTGAGAGGGTTAGGAGCCACACGGGGTGTGTTCCACGTGAGCTGTCCCGACCACTGAGCAGCTAGTCCTGTGGTCTTCAAAATAATTTTGGACAGGGTCACTCCTCCGATAGAATTCTTCCACGATGACATGACACAGGTCACTGGGGGGCTACCCCGGTGAAGGGGTCCCCTGCCCACCCTCTGGAATCCTTGCCCCACTGGGACACCAGATTCCTAGGGGCTCCCCACCCTTTGGAAGCCTCAGATCCAGAGCAACCCCAGGGGCAGCAGGGACTGGACAGGGCTCGTCCGAGGTTCAAGGAGAGCCAGGCCCTCTCCTGACTCCAAAGGTGCCTCTCAAGGCTGGGGGAGGGCTCCTCAGCTCCCTCAGCCTCTCACCCTCTGCCTTCCTACCCCACCCTCCAGCTGGATGCTGACGATGCCAAGGCGATCTTTGATGAGGAGGAAGGTCAGGATGAATACGACGAGGCGACCATGGCCGTGTAAGGGGAGGGCCTGGGCCTCAGAGCCTCCTCCACCATTCCTCTTCCCCACTCTCCCGGGAAAAGCAGAAGTTCATGGGCACCTCATGCTCTGCAGGCCCCTCCTGGGACAGCAGTTGAGGCCCTGGGGCTGTGGGCAAGGGAAGGAAGGGGTGTCTGGGAAACTTTCCACTAAGGGTAGATCAGCTTTTCTGCCTGGAAATGGCCAGTGGAGCCCATACTGGGGATCCGATGTGCAGTCTCTCCTGCTGCCACACTGCCATATGGGGACTCTGGCTGAAAGACTCAGGTCTGAGCCCCCTCTCCTCACAGCACAGACAGGGGCAGTCGCGAGAGCAGGAGTTGGTGGGTGGTTCAAGTTCCTGCCTGCTGTGTGACCTTGGGCAAGTCCCTCGACCTCTCCAGCCTCTGCTTCCTCTTCTGTAAAATGGGTATATTGATAATAATACCCACATTACAGGATGGTTACTGAGGGCCAAAGATAAATGTGAGAAAAAGGCTTTGTAAACTCTGACAGGACTATTATACCAGCCTGCCCAAGGTCACACAGCTCCTGAGCCATAGCGCTGGTGTTTGAACCTGGGCTCCCGCCTCTGAGGCTAGAGCTCTGGGCTCTATTTCAGTCGCCCACCTTCCCATGCTCAGAGATGCCCCTGCTGACTCCTCCCCTCCCCGTCTCTGCTCCTACCCCCGACCCAGGGCCCTCCTCTCTGGGGCAGAGGGAGGTGTCCTGGTAAGGATAAGATGCAGGTGAGGATACAATTGGGGCTGGGACTCAGGGCTCCTAAGTGCTTGCTCCCTCCCCTCATGCTCTCATTCATTCACTCATTCATTCATCGCACAAACATTTGCTGAGAGCCCTGGACCCTGGGGATGACAGAGGTGACTCACACAAGATCTGGCCCTGGGGTGGAGGTGGGGGCCAGTGCACAGTCTGTTCTAGATTTGGATGGGGGGTGGGGGGAGGGTAGGAAGGTAGGGAGAAGATGGAGCGGGGAGGGGAGGGAGGTTTGTAATTTATTGACTGTGTATCTTCTCAGAGATTTCATTGTACTTTGGCTTCACACACGTATCTACGTCCCCCATTACAGACCCACTGTCCCCAACCCAACCCAAACCATATCTTGGGGAGAACCCAGAATTTGACCAATCGGGGTATGAGACAGTGGACTTTGCAGAATATGGGTAAAATCTATGTTTTTACAAAACAAAAAAATATAAAGAGTTGAAAGAACTGAAAGTGGTGAGAGATGGCTGAAACGAAGAATCAGGGGGTGACAGAAAAGAAAGGAGGCTGTGAGCTCCTGACAGAAGGCTCTGGGGTGCATCCCTGAAGGCTGACAGCTGCCTCCCACCACTTCACTGTTCTGTGCCTCAGTTTCCTCATCTGTAAAATGGGGAGGGTAATGGTACCTACCTTGTAGGATTGTCATAAGGATTAAATGAGACAGAGCTTGTAGAGCGCTTGCTTAGCACAGAGCCTGGCCTCAGGCCTCAGAAGAAGAGCTCAATAAACGTTAGCTGCTGAGATTGTCGTTGTGATTGGGATGTCCCTGCCCCCTCCCTCCCTCTGCTCCTGGAACACTGCTAAGGAAAGTGGAAACAAAGTAGCCCACTCTGGCAGCACCCTTCTCCTCACCTTTCTCCTAGACGCTTGGGAATAGGTTTTGCCAATAAACGTGTCTGTGGTGGATTGACTGTCTTGCTGGAATGCCTTCCCAGAGCCAGAGCCAGGGCTCCAAGGGGTCTTGGCTGGACGGGAGGGAGGTCGGGGGGAGGATGGGGATGGACAGACATTGACGTGGTATGCAGGGTAAGGAGCTGGTGCAGGGCTGTGGGTGGGGAAGGGGGGTCGGGGGGGAGGGGGGAGGAGAGCCAGGCTAGGGGTGGCACTGGAGCTGAGGGAGGTCGCGGGCTGGTGGCCGTGAGCCCTAGAGTGGAGAGGGCCGGCACCCAGTGAGGGGCTGGGAGAGCAAGGGAAGACAAGTTTACACCCTGGACATCCTTCCTTCCAAAATAAGCAAGATCCATGAGGGTGGGGAGAAGGGCTGTAAGGGGGCCTCGCCCTCTGCCCCTTGTACTGTCAGAGGACCAGTCAGCCCCTTAGCCTGGACTCGTCAAGCTGGGCAGCACCTCTGAGAGGAATTACCAGAGAGGGAATGCCGTTTGCCATTGGTCACACTGGAACAGCATCTCTTGACCAGCTTTCCACTAGGCCCCACTCTGATCCCCTTGGAGGCTCTGCCTCCCACTCCCAGCAATTCTAGGGGGCTGCTGGGCCAGGTGTCACCCACCCATGGAGAAGAAGGTGCCGGGACCTCATCCCTCCCCAGCCTTCCAGCAAGAGATCGGCGCAGGGCTGGGCCGCCTGGCTTCCTTCCCTGGGTCTATATTTACTTGCTGCCTATCCCCAGCTGACCCCTCCCAGGCTGGCCAGGGCAGTCACCAAAGAGCCTGAGAGCCACTGTGGCCCCAGGGAGAGCGGTCCCAGCTGGTCCCAGCCGCCCACCTCCCACACACAGCAGCTTCAGGTCCCTTGTCCCCAAGGCTTGCCAGTACCCCATTTCCCACGCTGAGCCTGAAGGCATTAGGGAAATGTGAAGGCCGTTGAAATCCACTGGAATCCGACTTCCTCGCCTGGCACCTCAGTCCCCCTGCATTTCCTGCCCCCCCCCAGAGACGCTCTGCCACTCCCACCCCTGCATTTCCTCTCCTGAAAACTACCTCAGTGTGAATTAACTGCCATAATGAGGTCCACATTTTCTTGTGGACACAAAGTACCCCACTCCTGGTAAGGGAATAAGTCAACAGAATCAGAAAGCTCGAGACCTGAAGATAGTCTTTGCAGGACTATCTATGAAAGCAAAAACCTAGAGAGAGCCCACATATTCAGAAATGGGAGAGCAGTTAGTAAGTACGTCAATATCACAGGCCACTAGGCGGCCTTAAAAATAATGACAATGAAGAAGCTGTTGGATCAGCTCGGTGGGCTCGCTTGATCCCGGGCGTCAGCAGCCGAGGTGTTTGGAATTCCAGCTTTATGATTTCGTGGGAGTTGGACAAAAGGCCTCATCCCTGAGCTGGGTTTTCCACCTGTGTAAAATGAAGATAATGACACTTACCTCACAGTGCTGCTGAGAGGACAAATTGAGAGCACGCACCTAGAGGTCCCAGCCCAGGGCTGGGTTCAGTAAGCAAAAGTCCCTTCCTGTGCCTTCAGCAAGGACTGGAAGTGATGTAACTGTCCTGGGGACAGCCGCCCAGAAAGGACAACCTGCACAGGCAAGAAGCTGAGAGGCTTAGAACAAATTTAAATGCCCCGCTGCCCGAGTTATAGGGGAGATCAATTTCTTTCCTCTTTTTTTTGGAGTTTAGATGCAGAGGGTTAAGTTAATCACCCTCTTCAGTTCAGGGCAGATTATCACTGATGATTCTGTTTTCCTTCTTTCCTCCCTCCCTCCAACCCTTCCTTCCGTTTTGTCCTCACTCCTGCTCCTATTTTCTTCCCCTCCTGTAGGCAACCACTCTAACATGTTTAATATGTATCTTTCTGTGTGAACATGTTCTTGAAAATATGTATCATTGATATTGTTTTTAAGTTTATTATGTAATTTTTAATACATACACAAAAGTAGAGACCATAGTACAACAACCCCCCATAGACTCATCTCCCAGACTCAAAAATTATCAAGATTCTGCCTTGAAATCTTGCTTAAGTCTTTGCCTAAAATATTTCTGTTTCATCTTTCTCCTTTTTCCCTTTGCAGCACGAAATACTTGAAAGTAAATCCCAGACATCATGATGTTTCACCCCCAGATTTTTCAGCTCTGCATCCCCCCCAATACGGAACATTTTCTTATCTAACTGCAGTGTCAGCATCACACCCAACGAAATTTGCAATAATGCCCAACATCCAATCCACAATCAAATCTCTCAAAATGTCTCTTTGCAGTTGGTTTGTCGTGCGTGTGTGTGTGTATTTCTATACCTTGTCGGCATCGTGTTCCAGGCCTCGCTCTGCTGGGCCTCTCTTCACCCAGCGCTATGGTTTTAAGGCCCAGCCAGGTTGCTCTGTGAACAGTGCATAGCTTTCACTGCTGCGTGGGGCTCCGTGGGCATCTCCTCCCAACTTTGGCCTCTCCTTTCTCCCCGCTCCCAGGGAGGGACACCCAGTGGAACTCAACTCCCCTCCCACAATCCCACAAACAATGCCGCAGTGTGTGTCCTCAGCCTTGTCCTCTTATGGATCTGGTGAGAATTTCTTTGGGTTATATACTAAGAGCCAGGAGCAGATTTGCTAGGTCATAGGGTATAAATATATCTGTCTCAACTTGACCAAATACAGCCATATTTTTCTCCACAACGTCTGCCCCAGTCCACACTCCTGCAGGCAATGCAGGAGGTTCCTATATTCCCATATGATTGAATTATCCAGCTGGGTGGTTTTTGCTAGTCTGACAGAGGCATTATCTCATTGTTTTATTTGCATTTCTGATCACTCAAGAGTTTGAGCACCTCTGCATTTGCTGATTAGTTTTTAAGATTTTCTCTTGTACAAATTGTCTTTTCATATCATTTAGCCATATTTCTATTGAGGTTGATGCCTTTTTGGATGTTGATTTGCAAGAGGTCCTGAAGATTCTATCCTTTGTTGGTTTTAGACCTTGCAAAATGTTCTCCATTTTGTCATCTCTCTATTAACTCTGTTCATCTCATTGAGCAGAAATCTTTTTTTTTTTAAGGTTTTTTTCAAAGATTTTTACTTTTCCTTTTTCCCCCAAAAACTCCCTGGTGCATACTTGTGTATTTTTAGTTGTGGGTCCTTCTAGTTGTGGCATATGGGATGCCACCTCAGCATGGCTTGATGAGCGGTGCTACGTCTGCGCCCAGGATTCAAACCGACGAAACCCTGGGCGGCCAAAGCAGGGTGCGCGAACTTAACCAACTCAGCCACAGGGCCGACGCCAGAAATCTTTAATTTTGATGTAATTAAACATACCCAAGAGGAAGAGTTCAGACTTGATTCGGTAGGCACTAGGGAGTCAGTGCAGGTTCTTGAACTGGGGAGCGACATGATTAAAGCGACTCACCTGGGAGCTATATTCAGGAGGGCTTGGCTGCAAGGAGGCAAATTGGGAATCTCTGCAGGTAAGTGAGTCAACAGCAGAGGCAGGTGGACAGAGCCCCCACCCTCAGAGGACCTCCAGTCAGCATGGGAGCCAGGCGCTCAACACGAGTGATGAGGATTTGCAGGGCGTGGTGGGAGCAGAGGGGCCAGGGTTAGGCAAGGCTTCCTGAAGGCAGAGACATTAGCTCTGACTCCTGAGGGCAAAATAACAGGGGGCCCAGCGAGGAGAGACAGGAATGTCTTGAGGGAATAAGGGTCTAGAAAATGGAATACATCCAAGAACTATCCTGAAGATAAGGGGGTAAAATTTGCTCGGCAAAGTCAAGTGACATGGTGGAAAGTCTGCTGGGT